AAAAGAAGATCAATTCTTTTTAGGTACCCAAACTTGCTTGGATCCTTGAAGGTTAGTGACCAAGCTCTTTGGCACCCAAATGGCTTTCTTCTTTGAACCCATCCATGGTGTACCAATGAACTTAGCTTTCACACCATTTGTACCCTTAGTAAGCACATAGAAAGGATTAATCTTAATTGAGGATACATTAGCATTTTTGCTCTTGTTCTTGCACTCATGCTCTTTATGACTAACTTGCTTGCAACTAGTGCAAAACCGAACATTGTTCTTCACAAAACTAGTCTTGTGAGGAGTAAAGGCCGCCTTACCTTTCTTGGGGGTATAGCCCAATCTCTCTTTGTAGGGAGAAGCTCTTTGGCTACCCAAACACATAAGCAAGCGGTCCTCACCACCATAGACCTTAGCCAAGGTATGAGTGAGCTCATTGACCTCCTTCATGAGGGTCTCATTCTCAACCATTAGTGAGGCATCACATGTGAAACCATCACTACTAGATGAGGTGAAAGTAGAAGTGCTACAAGAAGGGTTAGTGGAAGCAACAATGATAGGCTTATAGAATGATTCATCAATTATATCACAAGTAAAGCCTACATCACATGTTTCAATGTGCTTCTTCTCATTTTGTTCATTAAGCAAAGAGGAATAAGCTTTTCAAGCTTCTTGTGAACCTTGTCAAGCTTCTCATGGGCTTCCTTTAGCCTCTCATGAGATGCATTGAGCTCATCAAAGGCTTACTTAAGAGCTTTTAGCTCCTTATGCAAGCTTTTGCATTCCCTTCTCTTAATGTCAAAGTGTTCTTTAGCATCATCTAGCATGTTAAGTAATTCATCCTTAGTTGGTTCATCATCATCACTATCACTTTCATTTTCATTTTCATTATCATGTTCCTCATCACTTCCATCATCACAAGTTTGTACCTTAGTGGCCTTAGCCATGAAGCATGATGGAGTGTCAAATGACGCCTCGGGTGCCATCGTGTATTGTGGGAGCACGCGCTTCATCAATGGCGCCACCTCCTCACGTGGCAGGCCCCGATGATGCCCGACCCTTTTAGGCCGTTCTCCTTCAGGATGTGAATGGCGGCAATGTGGTCTCGGATCTTCTTCTTGTCCTTATCCGGCATGCCCCACTTCCTCCACTACTCCGGGGCCTCTTCGATCAGGCATCCAGTGAACTCCGACAGAGGGGCGGCGGCATCATTCTTGAAGTAGAACCACTGCGAGTGCCACCCCTTGTTAGACGTTGAGAGCCGCATGGACGGGTACTCACTGACCCGATTATTCCAAAGTTGGATGCCGGCACACCCCATCGGCATGTGCAGCTCCTGCCTACCACCCTTCTCCCTCTTCCTCTAGAGGCTGACGGCGAAGAAATACCTCCACAAGTCGAAGTGGGGGCTGATCCCCAGGAATCCTTCGCACAGCGCAACAAAATACCGCCATGTGCTAAATCCTATTGGGATTAAGATGCTGCAGCTCAATCTTGTAGAAGTGCAGCATCCCTCGGAGGAATTTGTGGGTGGGGGTCACAAGCCCATGCTCGTGGAAGTGGGCGAATGACGCCACATAGCCATCGGGCGGCGACGGCGAACCCTCGTCGCCGAGCAGCAACCACTCCTCGACCGAGGTCCGCGTGCGAAGAAGACCACAACGGACAAGGCCCTCCATGCGCTGGAAGATGATGTCGAAACGGCACCATGGATCCATTGGAGGTGGGAGCGGATGGATGCGAGCTCAACGACGGCGGAGATGCGGAGGCAGGAAACCTAAGCGTTGGTGGCGGCGGCGTGGCTGTGGAGGCAAGGATGCAGGCGTGTGTATGAAACTCGGAGGGCTAACCTTTTGGTTTTATAGGGGCAATGGGTGTGAGGAAACCAACCTCCCACCTAGATCTCTGCGCCTACCATGACCTGTCACCACATCTCGTCGCGGGGCATGCGCACGCAACCTATGGCCGTCCCCTTGAAAAATGCACTGGACGTTTCGCCACCCCGGACGGGCCACGACCTGTCACAGGTAAGAGGGATACGGAGCTAAAAACTGTCCTACGAACCATCTAAGACCAGGAGTTCAAAGGTTGGCCCACCGACGGGTTCGACAACCGCTCTGGGCACTTTTAGAGTGAGGGGTGGAAATGGATGGGCCCACTAGCGGCCAGTAGTTGGGTGCACGAGTGCCGCGGGTGTCTCAGCCCACGTTCGTGCCTCGGGCGATTCGATCCAAGGTTTTTCCTCAAAGAAAGGTAGAGAGCCATCGGGACCGATCGAACGGACCTGAGAACTATATGGATTGATCGCTGAAAATTTGGAGTCGGTCACCAGCTGACCCAAGACGAACCCCCACGAATGGGATGCTGGGGCCCCACTCAGACTAGCCCGTTAACAACTCACCGAGCACCATGGCTCGTCCGTAGAGGAAAATCATGGCATGGCTCAGCCCCTCTGTTTTTATCAAAAAAAATGATTGAGGGAAGACGATCACAAAGACGAGTCGATCCTCGACCGGACCCTTGCTACGTGCGGGGGCTCAAAGAAAGTTGGACTCGCAAGGAGACCGAATGCACATTCGCAGAACGACAGACCCCCGTAGGGGTCGAAATTAGGAAAGACCTTTTCCGATCCACCAAATCTCACGGCTATACCCCCGAGAGGCCCGATCACGGCGAAAGGGAATCGCCATCCCCAGGACATGCCATGGGCGACAAGAAAAGGCCAAGGCCCTCAGAGTTCTCCCGTTCGGAAAGGCCTCTGAAGGAGTATTCTACTCCTCCGTAGGCTCGGGGGCTACTGTCGGGGACCAATACTAGGGTACCCGAAGAGGAGGAGCTAATGGTCATCAACATTGATTCAACCGAGCAGTCAAGAGTGCGCCTATAGCTCCAACCGACCCCTAGGTGCGCGGGCTTCGCCTTGCCCAACCTCCGGGGGTGGGCTTTGCCTCGCCCGACCCTGAGGCTGTGATCTCCGCCTCGCCCGACCCCTGGGGCCGACCACCGGGGGCGGGCTCCACATCGCCTGACCTCGAGGCCGCAATCTCCACCTCGCCCTACCCCAAGGCCGCGATCTCCGCCTCGCCCGACCTCCGGGGGCGGGCTCCGCCTCGCCCGACCTCTGGGGCGAGCTCCGCCTCACCTGACCCTAAGGCCGCAGGCTCCGCCTCGCTAGACCCCTTGGGTGCGGGCTCCATCTCGTCCGACGGAGACCCATACCGTCGTCAACCACTCTATGTCCAAGCGTATGGGCCTGGGTCAAAACTCTTACACCATGGAAGAGACCGGCGCGCCCCGATGTAACCCGTGGCCACGACGGGTCATACTTGAGGATTCACATCAAGAACAGCGTCGGGCGTACCGGTGCTGTTCTGCCCAACCCTCATACGAACACTGACAGGCGTGTCAGTTCACCACGACGTTCGCCAGGATAGAGTGGAGCGCCATGACCGACGGATGACACTGCGCATGGCGCCAGTGACGGATAGGACCGCGATGTGGAGCCGTCCCTGTTGACATCTATAGGGTTGGCGGGACCCGCATGAAGGAAGAAGGACCCGACGATCTTGCATGCCTTTCTCTCTCTCGTTCTTCTCCTTTTCCTTCGCTATAACCCGCGCTTTCCCTTGGCCTATAAAAGAGAAAGCAGGGTGCCCCATGAAGGGGATCCCGAACTGATCGATCCATCAAGATCCGATACAGATCCGCACAAGAGCACGACATGATCGCACAACTGAGCAGCGATCGAGTTCTCAGCACCCACTCACTCCTTTCACTAGAGACTTAGGATCCTTTCTCTCTCGCTCGTTTGTAACCCATATTATAAACTTTTGGTGCTAGTAACACGAGCAGCAGCGATGAATTGGACGTAGGGACTTTCTGTCCAAACCAGTATAAACCTCGTATCCTCTAAGCACACCATCCGAACCAGACGCGTAATAATACAAATTTACTCGTCGGTGGTAACTCGAAACACCGACACCTTTCCCAACGCTATGCGTTTTTTAGCCCTAAGTATCACGTAGGATTGGATAAAAAAAGTAGGTGCTATATACTTGTTATAGTGGCTTGCTGGGAAGTTGGTTCATGCTAAAAAAAGAAGATGAGGAAGAAATAAAGGTGAGGCATGATGAAAGTAAAAAGTTTTTATACAAACTACAATAATAATTTATATTGTGTAAATGATAATGTCGATATTTTCTAATATATGTAGATCCCTTTATTTGTAACAGAGCCACTAAAATTGTTGACCCTTCATTGGTCGTGACCTATCAGGGATGGAAAGGTTGCGGCCCCACCATGGTGCAAGTAGGAGTAATAATAATAATATCGCTGCCCACTCTCCCCTTCCTCGTCGGCGTCGTCGTCCTCCTCCACGGCTCCATCCCTCTCTTTCTCTCTCTTTTCATGCACACACTCCCTTGCTACAGTCGCAGTTGTCTCTGCAAGTACTGACTGCTCCTACTCCTACTCCTACTCCACCCCCACCCAGTTCCTGGCCTCTCGGGCCTTGCCTCGCTTTTTGTTGCTGCAAATCTTTGTTGGCTGCTGGCTGCTATCTATACACCGCACCGCACCGCAGCTTCCATTTCTCCTCCTCGCCGAAAACAAACACTCACACTTCACACCTCCAGTACTCTCGCTCGTATCCGTCGATCCAGCCGCCGCCGCCGCTCTCCCCCCGTTGCATTCGCTGAATTGCATCCGATTTGGCCTCGGTCGTTTGGCGCGCGGCGAAATTAGCGGCAGATCCGGCACTCACTGTTGCTGCGCCACCGCCTCGCCTGTCTCCCGTCAGAAAAAAATGCCCGCGGAATGACAGGGAAGGAAGGAGAGGAAGCAGCAGCCGCCCGAGTGAGCGTGTGTACAAGGCAGCAGGGAGAGGGAGAGGCTCCAGCTCCAGCTCCACCTCCAGCTAGCTAGGCAGGCATCAGGCAGTAGCTAGCTAGGACTAGGACTAGCGGTAGCAGCGTCGGTGCGCGGCGAGCAGAGGGCGGCGTGCGTAGGTCGGCATGGACTGGGATCTCAAGGCGCCGGGCGCGTGGGACCTCGCGGAGCTGGAGCACGACCAACACGCGGCTGCTACAGCGGCGGCGGGGCCGTCGGGGGGCCACGCCAATGCTGCTGCGGCGGGCACGGGGACGGGGTGCCGCCCGCCCGGGTCAGCGGCGGCACCCGCCGAGTGCTCCGTGGACCTGAAGCTGGGCGGGCTGGGCGAGTGCGGCGAGCCCGGCGCGGCGCCGCCGGCCCGCAGGGAGAAGGCGGCGGCGGCTGCGGCGGGCAAGGTGGCGTCGGCGTCGCCCGGCGCCGCGGCGGGGGCGAAGCGGCCGCGCCCCGGGGGACAGCATCAGCAGCAGGGGCAGCAGCAGTACCCGTCGTGCGCGGTGGAAGGGTGCAAGGCGGACCTGAGCAAGTGCCGCGACTACCACCGGCGGCACAAGGTGTGCGAGGCGCACTCCAAGACCCCCGTCGTCGTCGTCGCCGGCCGCGAGATGCGCTTCTGCCAGCAGTGCAGCAGGTAATACTTACTGTAACCTTGTTTGTTCACCTCCGCTTCACTAGCTAAGCTAGCCCGCAATTGAGCAAACGGAATGCAGCACGTGTCGTGCGAGTGTGACTAGCAGTAGCTTGCATCGAGGAGCTAGCTAGTAGGAGCAGCTGCCTGGTTGCTCTCGTCTCCTACCAGCCTGTTCATCTGCAGTGCAGCCACCGTCGCTCGCTGCGTCCTTCGTCGCGCTCTCGCAGCGCGTTCCCATGGGATGGACGGCCGAGGGCCGAGGGGGGCATGTAGCTCCCTGTCTCGTTTCAACGATGCACAACTTTATCTTTTCCGGCATGCCTTTTCTTCTCATTTCATTTTTTTTCTTTTCTTTCTGGAAAACAAAGAAAGGAAAAAACTTCATTTCGTTCGTTCGTTTCCTCCTGTAGCCCTGTTACGCTTTAACTTGGCAACCTGAATTATTGGCACGCTTTTCCTTTCTCCTCCCTCATCCCCCTGCGGCCTGCGCTCGCTGCTCCTGCACACTGCTCACTGCTGGTCAGGCTCAGGCTCAGCAGCGCTTCCTTCGCTTTCTCTGACGCCCTGCCCTGATGCGAATTAAGGGCTGCTGGCAAAGTGGGCAGCTGCTCCCCAATCGTCTGCCCAAGATCACCCCCCTGCCTTAAAGAAATGCGCTGCGCCGCCTGCGCGATGACGAGCCCCCGGCCCCGGCCCCGAACATGCTTGCCCCCGCTTTGGTGGCTGGAGTCTGGAGACGGGGCGGATCGACGTGTGTGAGCTCCTGCGCTTGCTTTTCCGAGCGGATTCTCTTTCTTTCACGGCCTTTGGCTGGCGGCTGCGGCGACGCGATGTTCATTTTTCCCCTCCCCGTCCCCGTGTGGGGGCTGCCACTCTGCCAGTGCCATTTTTTCTCCTTGGAGATGGCGCTGAATCTGAACGAGACGTGGGCGTCCCAGAGTCCTCAGGCTCCCAGCTTTGGCTACCATCCATCATTTCACCAGGCGGCAAGCTTCTGGCCTACAGTACCACATCTGCCAGCAGCTGTACTACCTGCGTACTGTGTATTCTGCAGACAGTGTGCCCATACCCATGCATACCATATACAGTACTACCCAGAAAGGGGTTGCCGTGTTTAGTTAAAAAGATTTCTCAATAGGGCTATACTATCCATCCCATCGAATCTTATGATACGTGCATGGAGCATTAAATGTAGACAGAAAAAAAACTAATTGCATAGTTTGGTGGGAAATTGCGAGACGAACGTTTTAAGCCTAATTAGTCCATGATTGAACATTAGTTGTCAAATAAAAATGAAAGTACTACCGTAGACAAATTTTCAAACTTCAGTCAAACTAAACACGGGCTTAGGATACATGCATCATGGATCTACTAGATAGCCTATAGTAGCCTTGTACATATACATAAAAGCATTTTTATGGCCTACTTCTACCTAGTACGTGCTTCCAAAGGATCATGTACGAGTATTCAGAGTTTCATCTTTCACGGGCACACACCGTGTTCACGTGCTCAAGTCATTATCATGTTATGCCTGTTTGCCATGGCTGATAAGCCATGACTAAAAGTACTGTTGATTGATTTGTTGTGAGAGAAAAATACATTTCATTAGTTAAAAAAGTACGGCTTATAAATCAAGTGAACATGGCGTTAGTGCTCTTTTAAAAAGTGCCTGTCAAAGTAGGATTTTGCTAATTATAGGGCGCGATAGCGTTCGCCTGGGCCCGTTTTCATCTGTGTTGTCAGAGTTGGCAACTCAACATGGTTCTCTGGCCGCTGTTAATAGCCATCACCACAAAACCCATCTCTTCACTCCGAGGGCAGTATTGTCTTACTGAATGCCCGCTCTCATTTCATCCCTGAACGACGATCCATCCATTTCTTTTTCGGTCTGAGGACAGTCAGTGGCCATTAAATGTTGGTGCAGTCTTAAGTAATTGCTTCATTTGCGATCTTTTTAAAGTTTGGTGTAGTTTACAGTACAGCGCTGTGTTGGGCGCCCAGTTTTGTCTTGCTCATCGGTAGCAGACGACGGTCCCGCTCTGTTGTGGTGGACCTAATAAACACTATATAACTTGATAGGGATCCTAATCTGATGCTCTGGTGCTATGTTCTGTTTGTGGGAATATCTTACTCGGTGGGGACAATTCTCAATCATTGATTAGTTTGTCTTTTGGTGCAAAATGCAGACTTTATAGATTAAGTGACAGTCGGTGAGCCAACAAATTTTTCAGCTTTCTTGGAGACTAATTACGAAACTAATTGCACAGCTTGCGACTAATTTGCGTGACGAATCTTTTAAGCCTAATTAGTTCATGATTTGACAACGTAGTGCTACAATAACCATGTGCTAATGACGGGTTAATTAGGCTTAATAAATTCGTCTCGTGGAGTACTGACGAATTCTGTAATTTGGTTTTTTATTAGTATCCGAACACCTCATGCGACATCCTCACGTGACACCTCCTAAATTTTAGTCATAGAATCCAAACACATAAGTGCACTACACTGTGGTCCAAGCTCAACAGGTCTTACAATATTTTCCTGTCTCTGCTAAGCACTGACGGATTCATTGACAAGGAACATTGGTCCCTGGCCTGCTCTGTAGTATTAACTATTACAAGCATATGTGCACAGTACATTAAATACTCTGACAATAATTATCTTGGTGTTTCTTTAGTGAGGAGCATCTTATTAGGGCGCGTTTAGATACAAAAATTTTTGGGTTTTGACTACTGTAGCACTTTCGTTTGTATTTGGCAATTAGTGTCTAATTATGGACTAATTAGGTTCGAAAGTTTCGTCTCGCGATTTTTCACCCAACTGTGCAATTAGTTTTTTTTTCGTCTACATTTAGTACTCCATGCATGTGCCGCAAGATTCGATGTGATGGGTACTGCGCAAAAAATTTTGGGAACTAAACAGGCCCTTAGTATACCACTGGATCATGTGCCCACCTACCTAGGACCATCTATTCTTCTCCCCATTGAAAAGTCCCAGTATCTTGTTTGTTTACATTGTATATGAGTATCCTAATTCAATTCATCAAGGAAGATCCTGTGGTCCATCGTTCATTCGTTCATGGCTATATGATTGTGAGAGTGGCACACTACACTGCCACAAAATGTGCAAATGACTATGGAATAGTAACCACCATGTTATCAAGGTTTTATGTCAACAGTTTAGGTACTTATCAGTTGGATCACCTTCGTATGTTGGTGACGAGAGAATGATCCTTAATGGGACAATCACCTTGTCAGCACATTATATTGCAACTTTCTCATTTGCCTTACTCAAATTCAGCTGTCTGATCAAGAGTGTTTGTTTATTTAGGTTCCACTTACTTGCGGAGTTTGACGCCGACAAGCGCAGCTGTAGAAAGCGACTAGATGGGCATAATCGCCGCCGCAGGAAGCCACAACCAGACACCATGGCTTCTGCTAGCTTTATCACAAGCCAACAAGGTCATTTACCGTGTTCACCAATTTGCTTTGTTTTTGCCCAGTCTGTACTTGGTTCAAATAGATCTTCATTGTTTCCATATCTTGCTGGACAAAGAAAAGATAAAACATTAAAACAGATTTGTGCACACATAAACCATGAGAAGTAAAAAGGTGGTTCAGCTCTGCCTCCCTGCTCTGTTAAACTTGTAGAGCTTGCGTAGCATTTCAACATATTTCAGAATTATTAAAATTCGGTTCATAAGATGCTACTCTAGAATGTTGCAATTTTTGCCCTATTCAGCCATTTCCCTGCATACATTAGTTGCGATAAGTTGAAGTTTACATTATAGATGCATCAAGTTGTTATGAACAACCTTCCACACATTTGATTTTTTTGGTTCATTAGGAAGCTCTTCTGTTTCTGTCAATTGTGTCCTCAAATTTAATGCAAGGTCCTTCTAATGCCTTTAAGATCATATATAGGTCGCCACAGCCCCAACAAAAAGATCAGTATACTGTATGTTGTTTTGCCTTTCAGATGTGTTCTAGTACAAACTAGTATGTTTCACCATTTGTGTGGTGCATACATAAATGCAACTTAATCGACAATCCGTATGAGTTTCACATGAAACGGGGCACGGAATCAATTTACTCTTTTGTGCTGCTACTAGATGCGTATGCCTAGCAGCTGCATTACCTCCTTATCATTCAATCAGTTATCACCTAATCAGTATTTCTTTCAAATTCAGGCACACGATTCTCACCATTTGCACCTCCAAGACTGGAGGCAACAAACTGGCCGGGGGTGATCAAAACCGAGGAGAATCCATATTACACTCACCAAATCCCTCTGGGCTCCAGGAGCAGCAGCAGCAGGCAGCAGCATTTCGTGGGAGCTACCACGCCTGCCTACGCCAAAGAAGGCCGTCGCTTCCCTTTCCTGCAGGAGGGCGAGATAAGTTTTGCCACCGGCGTGGTGCTGGAGCCGCCGGCGGCTCCAGCGTGCCAGCCGCTCCTCAAGACGGTAGCAGTAGCACCACCCGAGAGCAGCAGCGCCGGCGGCGGGAAGATGTTCTCCGACGGGCTGACTCGCGTGCTCGACTCGGAATGTGCTCTCTCTCTTCTGTCAGCGCCGGCCAACTCCTCCGGCATCGACGTCAGCAGGATGGTCCGGCCGACTGAACACGTCCCCATGGCTCAGCCCGTCGTCTCGGGCCTGCAGTTCGGCAGCTCGTCGTGGTTCTCGCCGCGCCCCCAGGCTTCCACGGGCGCGACCACGGGCGGCGGCTTCCCCTCCTGCCCCGCCGTGGAGGGCGAGCACCAGCAGCTCAACACCGTGCTGAGCCCCCACGACAACGAGGTGAACTACGGCGGGATGTTCCACGTCGGTGGCGGCAGTGGTGGCGGCGAGGGCTCCTCGGACGGCGGCACCTCTTCGTCGACGCCCTTCTCGTGGCAGTAGTAGTTCTCAGCAGCTGCTGCGTTCTTTTGAGCTTTCGCGTTTCCGACGATCCGGTAGAGTGCTATTGGCTTTAGTGATCACTGATCAGCATTGATTCCTGTCTTTTCTGCATTCGTTTTCTTGAATCGGTTAGCATTCGTGTGGACATTTTTGGAGCATGATTCTGTGCTCGTTTTCCTCAAATTATCCTTTCGTTTTTATTTGGCAAATAGTGTTCAATCGTGGACTAATTAGGCTCAAAACGTTCGTCTCGCAATTTTCAACCAAACTATGCAATTAGGTTTTTTTGTCTACATTTAATGCTTTATACATGTATCGCAAGATTCGATGTGATGGATACTGTAGCATTTTTTTTAATTTTAGGGTGGGAACTAAACACACCGTTTGCTACTGTGGCGCCTGCCGACTGCTGACTGCAGCATGTTGCTTCTCTTGTAAATTGTCCTTGAGACGAGGGCCACAACTGTGATCGTAGCGCATGCATTGATCGATGCATGGGGCTCCCAGAATTTCAGTCAGATTTCAGGTTTGTCCTTTGACTCAGTAATTCTCCCTATTGGGCGTCCGTTCCGTCAGGACGGACCCACCGACGGAACGACTCAGACCGACTCGGCATCGCAGCTGCGGTAATTCTCACTCCGCCTCCCTCATCCACTCTCACTCCGCGCGCCCACTCTGCCACTCGTTACCTCATCCCCACCCCGGCGCAGCGCCCTCCCCCACACCCCGGTGAGGCGCGCGGTGCCCTTTCCACCCTGGGCGCGGCGCCCTCTCCCGCCCACAGCGACGCACGCGTTGCCTTCCCCACCCCTAGCGCGGCACCCTCCCCCACCCCCGGGTTAGGCGAGGCGCGGTGGTGGAAGGCGCGGCGTCCCCCCCTACCCCAGCGTGCCTCCCGTCGGCCTCCTCCCACCACGGCATCCTCCCCTGGCACGGCATTCTCCCCCGGCACGGCGTCCTCCCCCACCGGGAGCCCCAACCTGGCGCGGCGCTCCCCTACCCTGGCGCGGCATCCTCCCCACCCCGGTGGCACCCTCTCTCACCCCCGACGACCGAGCTCCTCCCACCCGACGGCCATGGCGCTCCCTGCGCTAGGCTCTCTCTCTCCCCACCCTTTGTTGCAATTGTATGTTTCAATTGTTTCAGAAGGTTCAGAGGCATGTTGCAGTTGAACCATATAGATGTTGGATGTTGCAAAAGTAGATCAGGGATGTTGCACGTGTTGCAGTTGTCAGGGGCATGTTGCAATACTATGTTTCGAGTGTTTCAGATGTTTTTTAGGTATGTTTTATCTGTGTTTTTTGGACGTATGTTACAATTGTGTTTATCTGGATGTTGCATATGTTTACGCATATGTTGCATGTGTTTTATTCGGATGTTGCGTATGGTAGCAATGGTTTTCAAGTGTGTTTCTGGTGTGTTTTCAAGTGTTTCGGAAGCATGTTTCAAGTGTTTCATCTTCTTCAGACATATGTCGTAATTGTTGCATCTCGATGTTTCAAAAATAGATCTGAGGTGTTTGCACATGTTGCAATGGCGCCGGTGGTTGGCAGACAGCGGCTCGTCGCAAGGCTTCGGCTCCTACCTCGCGTGAAGCACTTTGCCCTCTCCTCTCCCTCTCCTTCCTTCCCTTCCCTTCTCTCTATCTCGCCGCAATAGTTCGAGCTCGTCCTCGACGTGGAGTTCAGCGGCGCTGCAGCGAGATGGGACACAGGACGGGTGCATGGTACGATGCGGGGCAGCGGTGCTGCATCCGTACGCGGGGCGCTGGCGTGGGATGGACGCTGGTGGGGCGTGCTGGTTTTGCGGGAGGGGGGCAGCATCCTACCCGGGCGTCCGGACGCGCGCTGTCCGCTGGACGTCCAGGCGCTGGCCTGACCGTTCTTGACTACACATCAGGTAGGAGTAGCTACTACCGGATGCATTTGCAGATGATAATCGAACGACACACCACATGCGGGCATCAAGAATCACTTGCTCAATCTGCTAAGACAAGAATCGATCGAGAATTCGACTTCATAACCGTAGTAAAAAGGGGACGAAAAGACGTAGGTGTTGCGGCATCAGGAATTCAGGATTGCCGGAAGCAGCAGAACACAGCACAGTGTCGAGTTTGCTGGAAGCGTCGTGCGGTCGTTCCGTTGCCCATCCAGCCGGCCGCGTTCCCCTAGCGCCGGAGCCACCGCCCGCCGCCGGCGTCAGATGGGGATGCGCATCCGATCCCAGCCGTGCGCCGCGTGCGGACGTGCGGTTGTAGGCTAAACTTGTAGCCTTGGAGTTGTAGGCCGAAACGTCTTGGGGGCTTGCAGGGATAGCACCTGACTGTTGCTAAGAGACTCTTCATGGGCTAAAGCCGAACTGAAATGAAACGGGCCCAGTTTGGAGATTCTGGGCCCAATGCAAACCGTGAACTTCCTTTCCTACAGCCTCCTGTTCTCAACCCTTGCGTTACATATCGTCTATTTTCTTTTCACATTAGACTTTATTTCACAATATGCACTCGTATTCACCAAAATTCATATATATAAAAGTGGACTAAGATGAAACTCATATCCGTTTCTCACGTGAATCACTAGAAACAACTCCAAACGGTGTTATGTTGCTTGGAACTCGAACATTTTTCTTCCTCATTTTGTTCAACAAAGTTAAAAACCCAGGAAAGGGTGGTTTCGCACAGATTAGTCTTGGATTCATTGACGCACTTATGGGCTACCAATTTTCCCTTTTTAGTTGTAATCCTTTTTTAGTGCAAAAAGTTAAAATGGGTTTTATATAAGTTATTCTTCTCCACAAAAAGTTTAAATTTTTTGAAACATATTTTTTATTTATATGATATTTTAGAAAACATGTTCATGTGAATTAGAATCCAACCTACCAGCCAAACGATCTCACAAAGTGTTTCTGATTCATCACATAAAATGTCTTTTGAGTGCATCCCTGCCAAATACATACTTAATTTAATTCACTCCTAGATACGAGTATATCTAAATAAGCCCTTATTAACGGCTCAAATGTTTGATTAGGTCCATTTCATCCACAAAAAGCAGGCCTCCAACCACCACACATAGCCACAAAGGCCCATCTCAAGTATATGTTTAGGCCCATTAAGGGAGTTTCTTTCCTTTTTATTCTTCCAATTTTCCTCGATTTTATTTTTATTTTCATTTTCATTTCCCTCCTTCATTATTTATTCATTCAATCATTTTTATTTACTTTTTGCTCGTTTCTTTTTTAGGTGGTGTGTTCATGAAATGATATATGGTGCATTTTTATTATGTATTATCCATATGATGTTACATGATATATTTTTTATTTTATACTAATTATTTTGATTTTCTATATTTTTATTTCCATGCATGGTATATTTTGTGATGTTTTATTTTCATGGTGTATTCTGGGTTATCCATATCCATCCATAGGATGTCATCTAATGTATTTTCAATTGTTCACACACTATCCATGAAAATATTCCGTGGTATATTTTGGTATGTTCATGTAATATTTATTGGAAGTTCCATGACTTATTTTCAGGTATCCTTTGGTCCCTGGCTTCTTTCCACTTATAGAGGTAAGGAGCCTCATATGCATGCTACTCTTTCACCTTCAATCCCCTCCTCCGCGCATTGCTTTCCTCCACCGTCTCCTACCACTAGGGATCGCTGACCTCTACCTTGATGGGGTTGCCCACCCACCGCTGCTGCCACCACCAGTTTTTGTCACATGAAGCATCTACAATTTTTGTGTTCAGTTTCTCTTTCCTTTTTGTTGCCGCCATCTTCATTTCTTTTATGAAACAGGTGGGTTTGCCCCCTACTGGATTTTATTAATAACAAAAAGAAGAGTGTGTACAGAGTTACCAGCTCAGGAAACAAAGAAAGAAACAAAGAAAATTAATAGGATTACACAAGGGTGTCTAGCCATAAGTCAAACATAGGTTGATACATGTCCCTAGCTCTTAGCTTGACTAGAGCTAGTTTTTTCCCCCCCGAAAGGTGTCTTTGCCGCCATCTTCATTGACGATGGGTTGATCACCAATGGCGCCTCATGATACACTTCAAGTTTACCATCTTCATCAGAAGGGCCTCTCTCACGCGAGATAAAACTAGCTATTACTTGGGAGGCGCTTCTTCACCTTGATTTGGTGTCTAGGGCGTGATTGCTCTATATCTGCCAACGTGGTCGTACTTTGTGGCGACTTGAGATCGTTGTTGCACTTGCTTGTGGCTGCTGCTGGGATGCCAGTTGTCGTGGCACCATGCCCAGGTGTGGGGGTCCCTAATGGTTGCCACGCTTCACCCATTGTGGCCGCCATGATTAGTTCCTGCAATCTTGTCAATGCGCCTTCTAGCTTGGTCATGGGTTTGTCATGTTCATCGGTGTTGGCTGTCATCTTTTCATCGCCGCTGGCCCGCTATGGTTGGGGCCTCTTTTCAAATTGAACCCTAGTCTATTGGTGGTTGTGGTGCAACTGCTTGTCGCCCGTGCCCTACACATCCAGCACAATCACCTCTCCCTAGTTCTCCTCTAGCAAAGGCATGGGTTGGGTTTTCGTTGTAAGGGGTTTCACTGCTGCATTTGTACATTAAGCTCCTTTCGGTTGGTTTGACATTTAATTATGAGTGTCACCTCTGACCTCTGATGACTAGCCGTGTTGCTGTTTCTGTTGTGTTTATTTAGTGCTAAGCTTCATCTAGTCACAAATTGTTTCCATGTTATTAATTGAGTGCGAACTTTAATTGTGTTGATGATGATCTTTGCAAGGCTAGTCTCGATCGGAAAGGATGCATGGTGTGATCCCGGTAAACTTGCTAGGCTTAATTACCAGAATTGTGTTTTACTAACTTTCTGTTCCTGTTAAAGACTATACGGAGATCCATTGGTCTAGATTAAAGGCATTCAGCTCCATCGATGTCGTAGGCTTGGAGCCAGCTAGCGGTGGCTACATACACCTACACGTTCGTATACGCGATGCTCAGGTACAGTACTGGTACTGCTACACTGTGCAGAAGTTACAACATCATTAATTCATGAGTCATGACACGTACGTACTGTAAGCGTAGCATACGCACTCTTTGCATAAAGTACCATGAGTACACAGCTGTACACTAGAAGCTAGCGTTGCTCTTATTAGCCCTGCAGGCCAACTAATAACAACAACAACATTTGTGTACCGCCTCTGCTTTACGCCGCTCTCGCCGGCTCTCAGCAGTCAGGCGCGCGGTCACCACGCACGCGGTGATTAGGATCGGAGACGGCGAGGCGGCAAGGTGAGCGAGCGAGGACAAGCAAAGCAAGGGCAGGCGTCGCCCGTCGTCGGGCCCCGCCACGCCCACGCATGCACGCCTGCATGCGCAGAGCCTCGCGGGATCTCGCGGCGGTCACCGCGCGCGGCATTGGCTGGCTGCCTGGGTGGTTCGTTTGCCCGTGCTGACACGCAACGCAGCCGTACGTACGTACGCCCGATCAAATCCGTTGTGTCGCTTCATTCCTGCAGTGATTGCACCTCGGTCACCCGTCCGGCAGGGGCAGGCTCCATCAACGTACGTCGTCGATGGAAAGCGAGCGCACTTTTGTCCGTCGAGGAAGAGGGTGTGTGGCGACCAAGAGAGATGGAGAGAGGGACAACCGTACCGGAGAAGACGGAGAAGCAAAGTGCCGTAGTGCAACCAGAGCCTCGTGCGCACAGTTCGAAACTCTACTGGCTGGGCTAGCTAGCTACCTCACAACGGCACAACACGAGAAGCAGCGGCTCTTGCTTTCCATCGCTCGCCTAACTTGTGACTTGGAGAGAGACCATGCATCTTTGTTTTTTTATTTGGTGTTTCTGGGGAAATGATTTGGATCTCTCTGTGAGTCTGGACTGGTGGACTGCTACCTTTGTCTGTACGAGATCACTTGATAGTTTTTTTTGCCTGCGGATGAAGAAAGATGCATGGTTCGTTGCGAGTAGCAGAAGCGACGGGCTGTTTTAACCATGCATGTTTTACTTTTTCACTAGACACGCACCCTTCCTTAGGGCATGTTTAGTTCCCAAAAAAATTTTTTGTGAGATCCATTACATCGATTAAACTTTTGAACCTAATTAATCCATAATTAGATATTAATTATCAAATACAAACGAAAGTGTTACAGTAGTCAAAAACCAAAAGACTTTGGATCTAAACGCGCCCTTAGTTCCTTTTGCCTTCACACACATGTTCCGTCGACACGTACGGAGTCCAAAGTAAGGTTACGTACAGTTTCCCGATAAGAAAGAATAATATTCGCTTGTTTGCTAGCTAGCTAGCTAGCTAGCTCGTCCGTTGGCTGTTGTTATTGTATTGTGCATGGTACAGGGTTCCCAAGTACGACACATCAGGCGTTGCTTGGCCTTGTGTTAATTCTCGATCGTACACGTACTCCTCCAGAGTCGATCGTCGTCCAGGCACAGTAAAAGGACACCCTTTTTCTGTTGTGATGACTGTGTACTTGTACGTGACAGAATCTTAGCGTTGCGATTGATTTCGCTGCCGCCTCTGCCAACAGCGCAAGCAGCACGGCAGATGGATTCAGAAGACGGCAACACACACGTATGTACACGTCAGCAGTGTGAGCACCCAACAGCAGGTACGTACGTTCTGTTAATCGGATCTATCGGAGAGACGGAGACGAAGACGAATAGGCCGACCGGCGCGGCGGACGGATCGAACAGTGCCCGATCGAGCACGCGCGAATTAACCCTAGAAGCGGGCGGTCGGCTGCTCGATCGGCCCGGACCCCGGCCGGGAGACACTTGGTTGGTTCGCGCGCTGCTGGCTGGCACTCCCCGCTGCCTGCGAGACTGGAAGAAGTGCGCGCTGGCCCGGATTGCTTGCTGTTGCTAGGTGGCCTGGAGTATGGACAGCAACCCGGCCCGGCCGGCTGGCCACACCGAGACAAGGCACGAGCAAGGGGAGAGGGCATGCAGGCGTCCAGGCGACGGAATGGAGGACACGCCGGGCAGGTCGCTATGCCTGCCTGCGTGCGCGATTGCGAGTGGCCCGTAGGCCGGCCATTAAAGCAGGGCACGTGACCGCGCACCAGTCGCTCCCTTCGCGTCGCTTGCTAGCTCGCGCGCCGGCGGGGCCCAGCAGGATATAAAGCCGAGCGCAGGACGCGACGGCGACGGACGGGACCCATGGCCAAGGCCATCACCCATCAGCCCATCACCATGAGCGGCGTGGGCGAGCAGGGACCGATGGATCGATGAGTGAGTGAGCGAGCGGTGACTCCGATCCCTCCTCCAATCCCTAGCTTTCCGGAAACGCGCTACCGGGCTGGGGGCCTAGGGTTTCGACCCCTACGGATGCTTTGCCGGAAACGGCAACCTGACGCCGAGAGGCGCACCGCGCACCACCACCCTTGCGCCCACCGGCTCCTTCCCTGAGGCCTGAGCTCATGATAACTCAGTCCCCAGCCCCACCACCACTAGCCCACTAGGCGCTGGCTGCTGGCTAGCTTTGCTTCAATTCCTAGCCCCCGTGCCATCGCTTTCCTCTCGATATTTAGTCCTCCATTCCCGATCCTTCTTCTCTACCTCCGCTCCAGAATTCCAGTATCTCCTACTGTCTGCCTTGCTTTCCTGCTGCTGCTTTAGCGCGAGCGAGAGGTACGGTCGATCTGGCGGCGGAGGCGGAGGGGTCGGCCGGGGCCGGCGGCGGCAAGGCCAACATGGGGAGGGGGCGGGTCGAGCTCAAGCGGATCGAGAACAAGATCAACCGCCAGGTCACCTTCGCCAAGCGCCGCAACGGCCTGCTCAAGAAGGCGTACGAGCTCTCCGTGCTCTGCGACGCCGAGGTCGCGCTCATCATCTTCTCCAACCGCGGCAAGCTCTACGAGTTCTCCAGCACGCAGAGGTATATAGTATATACACGCACACCCCGGCCGCGTGCGGTTGCTTTGCCGTTGTCGGTCAGTCGTAGTCGTCATCGCCGTGCTCAGGTCCCCTGGACTCGCCGGATCTCGCCAGATCTGCCATGGTGTGCCTGGATCGTGCGTTAGGAGCAGTTTCTGTTTCGCTCCTTCTCGATCGAGGCCGGGGTTCCGCGCGGGACTGCTGCTGCCTTCGCCGTGCTGGGTTTAGTTTACGCGAGAGTGAGAGAGAGAGGACTGGGTTTTCAATTTTTCATGTGGCTTCCGGACACGGCCGGGATCCGGCCGGCTACCGCACCTCATCTTGGGTTTAGCTAGGGTTTTGCTTTCTGGTCCCTTTGGTAGATCGACTTCATCACTTTGCTTTGTCCATCGGCATACGGAAATTGATCCGTCGATCTTAGAAGTGTAGTCGCGGCTGTCAAAGCTTAACGCTAAAATTCATGACGACCCCCGAGCAGCATGAATTCCCTGTGGATCTGGTTAAGCATGAGGATGGCTCCCGTTTCCAGTTACTACAAACTTACAATTTCCTTTGGATCTCTGGTTTTTTATCCTTAATAGAAATCTTTTTTCATGATTTAATGACATCCCAATGTACTCCAAACTCCTGAATATATGAAGTTTCAGAATAGGCCTCGCCTTTTTTTTTAAAAAAAAGAAGCACCATAAATTGACCTTTTGTATTGAACTGAAAAGTGTGAAGTAGTAGGCTCGTTTATGATCCAAAGAAAAGAGAAAAGCTTTGACATATCTTCATCCATGCTATTAAGATGCCTAAGCATATCATGTAATGATAAATTAATCCTTGAAATTATAATTCTTCCACATTGCTCGATAGAGCATATTCATGTCATGCCACGTTTAATTAATATAAGCTCTGTCTAAATATATAAACAAACTCAACATTTCTGTTCCTAAACAGTTTCTGTGGGCCTGCATATGAGTCGTCAATAAAATTAGTTTCCTAGATTGGCATTGTATCAAACTACTCTATGCATAAACTTGTTTTCTAGGTCAACTATATAAACCTATCTATGGAAAGATGATCTAGCTCAATACTTCAAGCTCCACTGAAAGCCGAGCCAAAATTTGGTTAGACATATATATCATCTCTACCATGCATGTGTTTATTTAATTAAGTTGGTGCCATGGTTGTGTATTGTATGAAATGACACCAGACGAATTGCCCGTCATGTATTCCATTGTCCATATATAAACAAGAGTAGTCCTCATACTATCTAAGAACTCCTAGAGTTGGTTTTCTCTACACTAGCCCTAGTGTCAACTAGCTATATCTACTAGGACTAAGAGACTGTGGCCAGGATAAAATGAATATATTCATTTGGATCACTACTGATATATGGGTATATAGTCCAAGTAAGATGGAGTGAATCATTATCCATCATATTTTCTAGTACAACATACATGCATATGTACTACCTTTTCCATGTCTCATTTGAGAAGCACAGTCCTTGGCCCAAAAGGCAAAAATGAAGATTCCTTGAGGCACCCCGGGCATGAAACAATTAATAACCTTGATTTTCGTGCTCTAGTATTATATATGCCCCAGCCATCGGCACATATAGTAATGTTTGCCCGAACTCTTTGTTAACTAAGCTACGTGGCCATCCTTCTGTCTAATATCTCCTAGCCATTATCTTGTCAGACGACATCCCTTCAGAGTTCCACAAATATATATGGTATCTCATCTCATGGGGGTGAATATTTCACCTTTTGTCTAGTTGAGTATATACTGCTGTATTTATAGGAAAATTCTACTGAATTAGTAGCAGCTGACATGCTATTTTGTGAATCCATTAGTTATGTGATATTGTTTGTTTTATTCTTGTTTTTTATGATAACAATTATGGCTTCAGTGATTATTAACGCTTTTCTGTACTAGTGATGGTAGCAAATTTTAGGAAACATTGCTTGTGTTAAATTCTTCAGAGGAACTATTAGTTATTTGTTGGGCCACACATATTCACATATTGCTAATTACACCTTGGATTTATCTAAGAAAAGGATAACTCTTTCTCCAACATCAAGCATAATACAACTATACAGACAATGTTTTAAGCAAGTTTCCTTTCAGATTAAGGATTTTTTGCCTTATTTTCCGATGCGTTAAATTTGCACTCACTTTTTTAATGACGTGCGACTTTTTTTATATTATTAACTGCTGCATGCCTAAGTTTTCATGCCTTCTTTACGTGCAGCATGCCAAAAACTCTTGAAAAGTACCAAAAATGCAGTTTTGCAGGGCCTGAAACAGCCCTCCAGAATAGAGAGAATGAGGTAAGATGTTCTTTTCCTCTAGTTCAGATTGCGGACAAGTTTGTTTGAGTTTTTGTGCATAAGAAAACTTCAACATTAATTACTTTGCTACTAAGAAGTTATGTTATCTAGGAATCCTGTTGTCTAAATAAATGTCATCTTGGAAATATAACATTTTAGATTTTTGAAATGTGAAACATATACATATAATATTGATTAAAGGATCGGAAAAGTACCTGTACAAGGTTATTTCAGGAGATTTTTTAATAAAAGAAACTACAAAAACTAATTTATTCTCAATAATAGATAGGAATGTCAAAACATTGATGCTACTATTCTGTTTTGTAAAATAGACCTAAACAAGCAAATAAAGGAACACAATTATGTCTCACTACTTTAGCATATATATTTCCTTGTACAAGGATTCCATTATATATTGCACACACATTTCAAGTGAGCTGAGGTATAAAATAATGCATGTGCACCAGTAAATATTGTGTCTATCTGTATAGAACGTATATATATTTCTTTGACTTAATAAGCACTTTCTCCACAGCCATGGACCATCATTAGTTGTATGGTCTTTACATTCAGAATTATAGTTGTAGCCTCATAGGTCCCTACTAAAATCCTGTATTGCACCTTAAAAGTTGTTGCAACATAATTGGATGTAGTGGGTATGCTACCATGTGACAGCAAAATCTGGCTTGTAACGTGCATGTGCGTTAGTATAATTTTTGGTGTTGTAATGTTCTACTATGTGTGGTGTTCTGCAATCAAGAAAATCTATATATATAGGCAGTGACGAAGCTACATTGTAGCTTGTGGGTGCACATGCACCCACAAAAATTTGAAAAACCATACTAAAATCAAAATTTCACCATAGTTTTAGCTTATATTTTCATACCTATAAGACAAATGCAACACCCTCTAATTTGCTCTAGCTTCACCACTGATATAGGCATTTCTATTCTTCAATTCCACTTTAAATTAGTTTTCTAGTGAAAATGATGAGGTTCACATACATATAAATGTAGCACCCGGTTTCAAGAACAAAACCAGATACACACCATATGTGAGCCCAGGAAGTCAAATCTCACATATAGCTACAAATAAGGGTAATATCAATAGACAATGCTTAAATACATAACGTATTAGTATAAAGAGTTTAACCTCAGAGTATAGACAGCGGAAAGACAACTCCGGTCTTCAGGCGAAGACTCCAGTTCCACAGGGACAACTGACTGGTTGATCACAAGCCTAATTCCTCCAAATTCTAGCAATTTGGTACCCATCCGGGATTTTTATCCAAATAATTGAAAATAAAGCAAGCGTAAGTACATATCGTACTCAACAAATATAACATGGGGTTCATGAGGCTCAAAAGGCTGACACTGGTTTAACTGCGATTAGCTTTTAATGAGTCATGATTTTAGCATAGGAGTAGCATCAAGTTTACCTCAAGCCCATAAACACATGATCAGGTAAACATGAATAATGAATAGCATAAACAGTAATCATTAGTGAGCATCTTCATCATCATTAACCATTAGTGATCATCTATTCCGTAAGGGTTCCAAGGCCGCTCGTGACCGTGAGCACTACCGATATACATTTTTACTCTGCAGAGGTTGTACACTTTCACTGTGAGTCGTGATTTACCCTTTCGCCCGAGGCGGCCAACCTCTTGACCCACTACCAAGGAAGGTCGGCAGGGTTCACTATGAAGCCTTTCAAAGGTTCGTCTAACAAGTTAGGGCCGCTAGGTTTCTGTGGCCTGCGAATGTAGAGCTCCCCTTTCGGCAGGCACAATGACGCTGCAGACCTATATACACTTTGACAGACGAGAGGCGCAGACTATATCCAACCGGAACACACCCTCTTGCGCCATAAAGGTAACCACTAACAAGCTAGAAAAGGTCCTCATATTGAGCTAAAGCGAGCCATGTAGCCCTCACAATTTGTCATCAGAAGTCCCGGATGATCACTTACAGATAAGTCCTTAGGGAGAGGAATCTAGAGCACCATAAAATAGCCCAATGCTCTAGCCCCTGATTCCAAGTTGCTAAAAAAACATCTTTTAATGTTTATTGCATATACCATTAGTCAAGTTACAAGATCATGGTTATAATTGAGCACTAGCAAAGCTACCAAATGCAATAACCCAAAGGTATCAAGGTACAAGTACAAAAGACTAGGATATCCTTAGTGGCAGTCAAGGTAGACACATGCAGTATGATAAGTGATTAATGGTGTATAGGACAACAAGAAAGATCCCATGCTATACTTGCCTTAAACACTTGCTCCACTCTTACACCATTAGCTTTCGGTCATCACCTTCTGATCTTCAGTGCCGACAAATGGTTCTCGTCTACTCGTATCAAGCACCACACATTGGCAACAATAAAAACAACTAAGAACAGTACACCACACAAGATAACACAATGCACTAAAAGAGAGCTAGGCGCTATGACCACAAGACCACAAGAACCACCGATAACGGAACTATCGTTAAAAAGAAACGACTATCGGGAGTTTTATATTATAAAAAAAACAACTACGAGCTTGATTTATTTTAGTTAACAAAACCATGGAAAAAATTATTAGTTTAGATTAGTCAAATCATCTTTTAATTCAAAAGTCGAGTTATGACCGGTCATATTTTATTAATAAATACGGCCGTCTAATTTAAGTCATATTAAACTTTAAATTTGCGAAGATGAAATAACACATGAAAATATCTATTCAAATTATACGTGACGCATGTTTGAGCTAACAAAACTATAATTACAAACATATATATTAATATTAATCAAATTAGAGTTTATTTAAGAAAGATCGACATTTAGCTACGTTGTTTTTAATTACAAAATTGGTTGCATATATATATATATATATATTAATCAATTTAATATTCAACTATATATAGAAAACATGTGACATGAAAACATTGATAGTACTGCGTAGAGCGTGTTGGTACGAACCTAACACAACTTGATTTATTTTAATTAAGAAAATCATATGAATGACATTAATTCAGATTAGTCACATCATATTTTAATCCAAAATCAAGTTAGAACTAGTCATATTTTATTTATATAAACATGTATTATATTATTTAATTCATTTAAACTTTACTCAGCAAAAATAAATAAATAAATAAATAAACATGTGAGAGCATCCACTCTAATTGTATATGACACGTGTTTTAAACTAAGTAAATCATTAATACTAATATTTATGTATAAAATGCTCAAGTGTAGCACCGGCCTACATTGCTTTTTAAATTGGAAAACTAATTACATGCATTTGATCAAATTAATACTTAACTTAGTAAGGTCTTAAATACGTGATATGAAGAACATTACCACTATCTCACAGAGCATGTCGCTACGAAACTAACACTACGAGAGCGACTTGGAGCAGAGGTAATATAGGTATACGCGAACGTGAGAGCGGATATCTGAGAGCGAAAGGAACAGACGGAAAAGCTCACCGGCGATTGACGATGGCAGAAATTAACAACGCTCGATGGCGACCAAATTGACGTCACTGATCTTGGGGAAGATGGACAGTTCAACGACAGCTTTGCAATGTACTGTACATGTGGCATCACGGAGAAGCTCCAAGAGTGGTTGCGGCCTCCACAGCCATAAAAGTGCATCGGCAGCCAGCGAAAACGTGCACGACGACGCCGTGGCATCGGAAGACGGAAAGCTTGGTGGCAAGACATATGCATAGCATGCCTAGCGTGGCTTCGTTCATGCATGGCCGGCTGCTGCTCAAAGTCCAGAAGACATGCATCGTGATCTTGCATGAGTAGCTGGCTCATTTGATTTTGAATAAGACGACTTAGTGCTCCTGTAAGATGGATATTGAATTATTGATGCCCGTGAGGAAACAACAGCAGTGGGCCACGGTGATTATCGGCATAGGACTCAGCTAGCTGCGAGGCCATGTCAGGATGATGCAAAGCGGTGGCAAAGGAAAGTAGATAGTTGCGCGATTTACTTGCCAGAGGTGCGCCAAGGACGAGCAGCGGCGTCGGGGAGATGAAAGTGTCGACGGATTCATCCCCTCGGCAGCGGTGTAGCGAACGGCGGTGAAGCAGCTGGTGGTGCCAGCGGCGGCGGCGGCGGCGACGACGACGACGACGGCGAGAGAAAGAGAAGAAAAATATAATTTACTACACGAGGGATTTCCTAAACTAGAGGCTCCCCTTACGGTAGTTTTGGTGTACTTTGCCCAAGGGGTTGGTTGATATATATAGGAAGAAAAACTCCCCACATCCACGTCAACTAGCGATATGGCACTAATTGATGTTACACCCTCCATATTTACTAATGGGCCTAAATAATCATTAAAGCCCATTAGTAAACAAATGCATGTGCCTTTAGGATTTATTAGGATTATTGCACATGGGCTTAGAGCGTTGGGAAAAAAATGAGATATTTATTATTTTCGGAATTAATTAATTTTATGGATAAAATAATTCTAGAAAAGTCCAGAATTAATATTTAAGCCACGAAAAATACTCCGAGACCTCCGAAAATTTGGGGAAAATTCTCAGAGACACTTTGGAACATGATGAACCCAAATAAAGTATTTGGAGCTCATAAAAAGATTGTTGGGAACTTGGAACATAAAGATTAAGGTGAAGGAGGTAGGAATTAAATTCCAGAAAGAAGCTGAAAAATTCCTAGGGATAGATATTCGTCTCCTAAACGTATAAAAACACACATTTTGCACATAGAAACACGAGGTGCGACCGGCATGAATGCAGCAAACACGTTTCTACCCAATGATAAATTTTAAATTAATGAAAATTTTTATTTTCCCTATGTTTTCATGAGCACATAATTCCAAATTAAATCATTTTAGCTCTATTTCCAAAAATTCAAAATTTGGGGTGTTACAATAAATCATTGTAGTCTCAATATTGTTTGTTGAATTGAACTAGGCATTCCTGTTCATGCTAATCTTTCATGACATTTATTTCAGCAATTGAAAAGCAGCCGCAATGAATACCTCAAACTGAAGGCACGCGTTGATAATTTACAGCGGACTCAGAGGTGAGTTCTGCTTTACAGTTGAGATAAATTTGTGGTACATACTAAAAAAATAGCAAATTCTGTTTGAAATGTGCTTTGTTATGGGAAAAACATGCTTAAAACCAAATAGCATGGCTTATTTATTCATCTCGACCAGCAAGTTCATGAAGCAAAGTTAAATTTAAATTCAAATAGTGCAAATCTAGGAATACTAAAATGTCCAAGATGTTTTGCCAATATGACTATATATCCTCTCAAATACACCATACAAACTACTTAATGTTTCTCTAGAACCATTGTTGCGGAACCATATATCTTAGCTTCGCAATAAAAAAACAAATGAAATGAGCTACATTCTGAAACTATCATGCATGCGGGTTAGTGGCCTATAATTTGATGCTACCATTTTATATACACATAATATTGGCCCAAATGAAAAATGAAGATTTCTAGTATTGTTTGGATATGTCGTCCTGTATAATATTTCAAGTTTGCAGGACATTTCTTTTTATTTTAAAGAGATATAAAAGGGTGACTTGGCTCAATGCATTTTTTTTCAGTGTAATCAAAGGCAGATAGATTCACATTCTGATAGCTAATTAAAAGTTTGAATGTTTTATAAACAATCATCAGGAACTTGCTTGGTGAAGATCTTGAGTCATTAGGCATAAAAGAGCTGGAGCACCTCGAGAAGCAACTCGATTCATCCTTGAAGCACATAAGATCTACAAGGGTACTGAAAAGTGCTAACACCATAAACCAATAAATTGTATTTCCTATTTTGTATTAAGTGGAATATTTAAGCTGTCCCTTTTGTGGACTAGGTACAGCAGCTAGGATTCATATATATGTCACTGCTATCTGATTTCTTAATTAAAATTCTTTTCTGCTAGACCTGCAATATATGATAATGAGTATGTGGGGGGTCAAATTTATAAAAACTGTGCATGTAGCCTGTTTCTAGAGCATATGTTCTGACCAGTTTTTTAATCTCGTGTAGACACAACACATGGTTGATCAACTGACAGAACTTCAGAAAAGGGTATGCTACTCTTCATGATTTAACAAAATAATATTGGTGACTAATTCACTCAATCAGTAAATAACTTCAATTATTCAATTTGCAGGAACAAATGTTTTGTGAAGCAAATAAGTGTCTTCGAAGAAGAGTAAGTTGTAAAATTTACTATATCATTAAACAAACATTTTTATTATGTTTCTTTTGCGGTGCCTGTTGTAATACTATTGCACTTTAATTTGTCGTACATAATTGCAACAAATGAAGAGACCACATCAACCCTTTCTTTTACATCTCCTACACATACAGTAACCTATTCAGCTATCCAGTTTCCTCATAAATTTCTGAGTTTGAACAGGGATGCACATTTCTATATACACGGGATCATAACAACATATAAGGTTCTGGCAGCAAGGATAGTTACCTTTTTCATCGTTTTGAGATGTGCAGCTGGAGGAGAGCAACCAGGTTATATGGCAGCATGCGTGGGAGCAAAGCGAACGGCATCCTGAAGTGCAGCCGCAGCAGCTACACGGCACTAACAACTTCTTCCATCCCCTCGATGCTGCTGGTGAACCCACCCTTCAGATAGGGTATGTTCCTCATACTTTCGGTTAATCTCCCTACTCTCCAAACCAAGGAAAATAAGGATGCCAATTTTATGCAATACTATTTCGATGCCCTAGCAGCCTTGGAAAGATGCATGAACATCCAGGTTTTTTTTTATCATATACACATGATTTCTCAAACTAATGGCGTTTTCATTGATCTAGATTAATTTTATCCTATGCTCGTTTGGCCCTACGTACATACAGGATAATCAAAATGGCGCCTTGTCCCGTTATTTTCCTTATGATAAAATGCAACTACCACAAAATTACATGACATGTCGCAGACGTACTAGAGAATTCGCTATCACTGTAAATTGTTAAATCTTTAAATACAAAACCAGAATAAAGTAGTACATACTGATATTAAGTTCTTATCATAGAGTAGCTCTTTGTAATGAAATTATAGCTGATTCCTCCATTTGTGCAACTTGTTTGCAGGTACCCTTCAGAGGCACTGACTAGCCCATGCATTACCACGTTCCTGCCCCCATGGTTGCCATGAGATCGAACTACTGTGTGATTCTGAAATAATAAGCATGGCCGCAGCTGCCTGCGCTATATGTTGTGCTTCGAGTGATAAATTCTACTTTAAGATTCTTGCATGGCTTGTATGTGTGTGTAACATTTGTGATGAACATGGAAATTATCCATTTGATTCTCGAATAATTAATGAACTGGGTAAGATCGTGACGCACTTCTTTGCCTGAAATATTAATTTATGATGTGTTTGGTTTGTGGAGTTACCACATGCTTCATGAGGTGATGCATCATGAGTTCATCCTATGAATTTTGGTGGATTCAACTCATTCCTCATGCATATACTAATTATTAGCTTTTGAGGAATTAGGTGGTGATGAATTAACTGATTCCATTATTCCACAAACCAAATACAAAAAGTGAGGAGTGAGAAGATGATGGACCACTCAAACCAAACACACTGCATGTGAATGATGGAGGCTGTGATCTACGTGCTTCAGTTTTCTAGTACTAGCAGTTTAGTGTCGAGGAGGGAAGTGGAGATCTTTTCAACAAACAAGGAAACCAAAGGGCTGCAGCTACCATTGTTAGAGCATCTCCGAGAGTATCCTATTTTTTCTTACTAAAAACATAATGTTGTTCAACTCCTAAAAAGATACTGGGAGAAATATATAAAAAATCATCTCTAATCGTTTCCATCAATTTACATATCGTGAGTCGCATCTCCGCCGCCGGCGTCTCCCTTCTGCCGAACCGCAGCCTTCCCGTGCCGACGCCAGGCAGCCACGGCCGCCAGGCTCTCCGCCGGCCACCAGGACCGCCAAGCCGGCCAGCACCCGCAGCAGGCCGCGCATCACCCGGACCCGGGTCAGCAGCCTGTTCGGCAGGGCTGAATTGGCTGGCTGGTGCTGGGGCTGGACCAGCCAGCCCAGCCGACCAGCCAGCCAATTCTAGCCTCCAGCCTCCAGCCAACAGCTGGTTTTCAACAGTTCAAAAAATGGTGCCAACAGTTGCTTTGCAACCAATTCTAGCTCATGCTGATTTTAAATTTTCAAATTCAAACTACCAGCCATTTCTAGCTCATGCTGATGTAAAGTTTAAACCAAGAATTTCAACCAATAATTTACAGTTTGCAACTCAAGCGCTGGAGAGTCAGTGATGTAGGTGACCCAGTCGTTTTTCAGCTCAAGCGCTGGATGGTTGGGGAACAATGAGGCTACATGCCCGTGAGGACCAATGTTCAGACGAATAAGGTCAAATTTGGGGCAGTCGTTGATCACTGAGACTCCAACTTTCTGAACCTTGACCAACTGCCGGATGACAAATTCATAGTCAGTTGCTGCCTCTTCCACCGTTGCATTGTCGTTGATGGAGTAGACATGACCATGAAGAATAGGCACCTGCCAGTCATTCACATGTAACTCATGGTTATTGGTTTACCCAATGGAAATGCTTGGTAATGTGTGGTAATAAACAAAATGAAAGATATACATGATCCACATTAGTAGAGGCAAATGCAGTTAGAAAGGTGGAGAAATAATGCATATTACTTCAACATGACAATAGACATGTTCAGTGGAGAATAAGTACTTGTTTATACACTCACTTTTAGCATCCTTCTTCGACAATTGTAAGAAAGAGTCAACTTAATAAGGCCTAAATATGCATATGAACTCATGTGCCTATTTTAACCAATCATTCATCCAGCAACTATCAGTGGCAAAGTGTGATCGGATGAGGATGACAAGCAATTTTCAGTTAAAAAGGTAATCCAAAAATTCCCAATAACACTTACAGAAATCAAAAGTCAACATTTATGTATCCACATAAACTACGTACATTTTAAAAATGAACTTACAAGTGTGTCAGTTTCTTCAGTTCAACAATTTCAGGTGGAAGCACATCTTGAAGCTGATTACACCTCATATTCCTAAGTTTACAAGAACACTTGGTTAGATGAAGAGCAACTACACTCAAATTAGCCATGGACTCAAAGTGCAACAAAGTACTAGTTGGTGCAGCAGAGAAGATCAAATTAGCCATGGACCAAATTTGAGGCTTACTTTGAGAGTCATTGAGGGTTCACCTGAGAAGATCACTTGTGCCCTGGATATCATGACGTTTACAATCGGAAACACAACTTGAGAAGCATGAAGCACGTCTTCTTCAGTCAACTGGAAGCTTCTCTTATTCTCCACCTATAGCCTGCCCAATTGCAAACTCATATTACCTCTGGTTCAATCATCCATATGGACAAAAAATATCAAACATAATGAAATCATACCTCTGAGGAACAGAATCCTTGAAGAAAGCCAAGCCTAAGATCATAACGCCGAGGTGACAGAGAGCTGAGATTGGGCTGCAAATCATCACCCAAAGCCAAGTACCAGATTACAACAAAGAAAAATAGGTAAACTCAGTAGTCTAAACAACAGACATATATATAGGAACCAACTGCATTACCTCAACTCTCCTAAATCAGACACCACTCCACACAACCATAGATATTAACTCCCTAACTCCAGAAATTGGGGTTCCCCGATTTAGCTCAACCCACTCCGGCAGCTCATACGAAGGTGGATCAGCGCCGTACTTACGCATCCATAAAAAATTATCTAAAGCAAAGCATGAAATGATTATCATAGCATGCTTCATCCTCTTGCAGTACAGCACCCCATCCAGAATCTGCCAATGTTCTTTCAACACCCCAAACCTCCTTTTAATGACATTTCATAACTTCGCATGAATGTAGTTGAATTTCTCCTCCCTCTGCAACTGTTGCAAATCTACGCCCCTAAAATCGTTGATATAATACCTTGTGTTTCTGTAGGGGGTCATGTAACCTGGCATCTCCGTGTAACCCGCGCCCGCCAGGTAGTACCGGCCTTCAAGAGATGAAAACAGTTCACCAATTAGTCCTATCAACAGATCACAGAACCCCTAACTAAGTGCATATTGTGGATTTGTGGTATATCGGAACCATGAGGGAGAAGGAACAGTCAAAAGAAGCCATTTTTCCCTCTCAGGACAAGCTGTGATTTGAGATGCAGAGACTGTGCTTTAAGTGATAAGCTAGAATCCACTACAAGTACTTTTCATTCATACTAACCAAATTTCAAGTGTTTAAGTTGATAAAATGTTGCACCTATATTAAGTTGTTAACCAGACTTATACACAATAGTTATTAAACCATAGTTGGATTTAGGTATATTTTGTTAACCTTTGTCCAATTAAATCATGTAAGTTTATGGAAACCATTGGGAAATAGGACCATCTTAAACATAACTAAGTAGATAATGGACATGCACAACTAAGGAACAATGACAAATGAAACAGCCAGGTACATTTGTACATGTAGCAGAAACACGTAAGGATTATAGCCTCCCCCTCTCCTACTTGAGCAATTCGGAACTTATTGGTTCATAAAAAGATGATCACAAAACAACAGTTTCTAGTTGAGTAATCTCAGACATCATGACACTTATCTAACAAATTGTATATGCTGCCATAGAAAATTGAACAGAAGTATGCTTCGATACATCTAGTACAAGCAAACAATTATGGAATGTGAACATCAAGGCATCACGAACCTGCTGGGGGATGTGGGAACGAAGCATCGCCCTGACAGTCTTTCAACACCACCATGTCATGACATGCCCCCACCTTCCCGGGCCCCACGTATGTGAAACGGCCATCCATATCCACGATGGCACAAACATTAATTGTTGTTTCGCCTTTCCTATTGAAGAAATCAGCCTTTGCTTCATTGTTAACCTCAACCTTTATATGCATGCCATCTATAGCACCTATGCATCCATCAAACCATGGTGCATATGCAGCAAGTTTGTGGCTTACGCGTGTGTAGTTCCTATCTGCTGGCACTAGGACAGTATTTGCCCACCTAAACATGACCTTTGCAACTGCTGTTATCTTTCTGCTTACTGTATCTAAAGACCTTTCAAACCTATCTTTGCACTCTCTACTTACAGATTGGTGGGCACAGGTCCAGATATACATGCCTAAAGCTTCTACCGAGGTACACTTATCTGTTGATGGCAGGCCAAACGACAGCAGGGTGTCATGCAAATGCATGAAGGCATCACGCGTCATGCGCAAATTGTCTATACATTTGGTTTGGTTGGCAAGGGTAAGCTGCATCCATTGGGCTCCAGATAGCTTAGGAATAGGACAAGGAGGATTTACCTCAGGCATTTGCTGTGACATAATACCTTTCAACCTTAGAAGGACGACTGCTGCCTTCGCCAAGGTCACACTGCTCGGTCCCTCACTGGAAGTGTCGCTGTACGATGACTCGTCAGTGCTGCTTAGTATGCTACCTACAAATGGGCAGAAATCAGTAAGATTGAAATGCAGATATTAGGAACAAAACATTTGCTAATAAGTGAACATGTCAAGATACCTGAACTAGGTAGCACCTTGAAAACAGGTTGCAATGTACAAGAGAAAAGTGATACATGCATAATAATTTCTTACAACACTCACAGCATGACACAAATATTTTATTCAACACACAAGACAACGATATGCACTTAGTTCTCAGCAATGGTCTTTGGTAATACAAAAAAAACGAACATAATGCAACAACAAACAAAATTAACTCAACATGCACATGGTGGACAACCACAAACAGTAGAAAAACCACAGTCCGAAGAAATGTGCTGATCACTTGGACTTATTGGAGCACACAAAGGCCTACGTCACATTGATCCAGTTCAGCCGGCCCTCTTTAGATTTCATTTTCAGAAAACCCTGACGACGGAGCCTGTTGTTGCAAAGGTTCAGGGCTTGCACGAATACTACATCAGTCTCGCTGAGACCATCTTGCAACAGAATCTCATGGACTTGGGCCAACTCCTGAGCATCGTTGTTATGACAGGCCTTCTGGGACCTAGCCTCCTTGATAAATTGGCCGAGGTCTTCAAGGCACTCTTCTACGGATGGAGTCTGGCTACTCTTCTTGCTGCGAGGACTGTTAACAGAATATTCCCTATGGACTCTCTTCGA